TTCGCTTTTCGCTTTTCGCTTTTCGTTCTTTCTGTCGTGACAAAATAGGTTGGTGGTGGCCGACGCCATGGTGCTGATGAAGTCGTCGGTGCCCTACCGGCGGCGCAACAACCTGTACAACATCAAGATCTCGGATGTCATGCAGGAGGTGGGCGGCTGCATGCTCCAGCTGGTCGAGGGCGCCCGCGACAGGGAGGGCCGCGTGGTGCTCCTCGTGCAGCCCCAGAACTACACCCCGGCCGCCTCGCCGCCGCTCAACGTCGTGCGCGCCGTCATGTACCTCCTCGACAAGTACCGACTCCCACCCACCCCCCATATATATGGTGCTGCTGACGTGGCACCTGACTTATCATTGGCTTGTCGCGTGTACCACCAGGGCCCAGGAGGACGTGGAGGTGCAGCGGAAGGGCTTCACGGTGCTGGTCGACGGCACGGGCTCCAAGTACTCCAACTTCGACCCCAAGATGCCCCGCGTCCTTCTCGACGGCATTATCTCGCGCTATCCCGGTACGCCCCCCGCACACAACTTTTCAACGTGTGTGTCGTGTGTGCATCACGTGTGTGTCGTGTTGTCGAACGATGATCCACGCTCACCTTTGTCGCTCTTCTGCCTGCAGCGCGCATCGGTTACACCATCATCACCAACATGCCCTGGTTCTTCCGCTTCGTGTGGGCTGGTACACCTCCTTTCCTTTCTTTTGTGTCGTGTGCGGTGGTGCGTGTCATGGAGGGCTGAGCTCTAACGATCGTTTGATTGTGCGATCGCAGTGATTCGGCCGCTCCTGTCGGAGAAGCTGGCGCAGCGGTTCCACATCGTGACAGCCGACAAGCTGGTCGAGTTCATCCCGCCGGACCGCCTCCTGCCCACCTACGGCGGCAACCTCCACTACGACCACCGCGCCTGGATCCGAAAGCAGCACGAGAACGAGGGCCTCCCCTACTCTGGCTAGGCCCTGCCACCACCCAACCAAACCAAACCGAACCTAACCTTACCTTGTAGGCCAGCCACGATCGTCATCATCTGGTGCCAGCTATTTATTTTACCCCCCCCCCTTACATGACCCAAAGAGAAGACAAAGAGGGAATCAGCTCCGCGTGCTCTTGCAGTATTCGGGTTGAGGTCGTGGGTCGTGCACTTTACGCAACACGTTCGACACGCACCGGGGGGTGCTGTTTTTCTTTTCCTGATGGTCGACCTGGTCTACATCCTCATCGCCGTCACAATTCTGGGTCTCGTTCTCCTCCTGGCGTTGGTCGCCGCGCCCTACTTCCTCTTCTTGTGTCCGAAACGCAACACCCCCACGAACACAACCGAGCACACCGCAACACCAGAACCACAGGCGTCAGAGAGTTGATAGGAAATGCGTCACCCACAACATAGACTGCATTTAACATTCTTTCTGAGAAGTATGTGTGTTGTGTTGCGTGTTGCGTGTTGCGTGTTGCGTGTTGTGTGTTGTGTGTTGTGTTGCCTAAAGGTCAATCTCTGGGATGAACTCCATGGCGGGCGGCGAGAGGGCAATGCCGAGGGCGGCGAGCTTGGCGATCTTGTCCTCGTTGGTCATGCGACCCGAGTTGATCCGATACCGCTGGTTGTGGAGCCATGCGCCAAGCGGGCTGTCGTGCTGGCCCGGCAGTGGCTGAGCGACGTGCAGCTCGCGGTACTCGCGCAACTCCTCGAATCGAAACGCCCACGTTGTGTACTTTCGCGCCTTTAGCGGCGGCGTGGTCATCGTGGACGTCGTGGCCATCGTCGTGGTCGTCGTCGTGGTGGTGGTTGTGGTCGTGGTCGTTGACGTGATCGGCTCCTCTTCCCTCTTCTGCCGTTTGTGGTTTGTTCTCCTCTTGGCTTTCTGCTTCTGCTTCTTCTTCTTCGTTTCGTCGTCGTGCCCCTCCTCTGCCGACCTACCGATGCCGAGGGCCGCCAGCTTGTCGACCTGCTCGAGATCGAGCCTGGGCCAGCCCCGGCTGCCCCGGTTGTAGTGGAGCCACAGGTAGAGCGCTCGGCTCTGCGTCGGGGTCGGCAGTTGGCCGCCGTGCTCCGCGATCCACGCCTTGACCTGCGCATACTTGGCCTCCCACTTCCGCTGACGCTCTTCGAGGCCGCCGCCGCCCTTTCTCCTCCTCTTCGTCTTCTTCTTCGGCGGCTGCCCAGGCGCTGCGGCGACGTTCGTCGTCGTCGCCACCGCCGCGTCCACGTCTTTTTCGCCGACGCCGCCGCCGATGGTTTCGTCGTCGTCGTCGTCGGTGAACTCCACCTTCACGCCGAACAGGCAGACCGCCTTCTTCTTCTTCTTTTTGTTGTTGGTTGAACCCTCGGCCGCGGGGTCGACGTCACCAGAGTCGTGTGGGGCGTTGAGGTCCAGCTCGGAGTTGCCCCACAAGAGGGCCTTCGTCTCGCACTCGCCCCCCTGCTCTCTTCCCGCACCTCCTTCCATCTGCTCTTGCGTTGGCGTTGGCTCTTCACCCGCCAACCAAGTTGCTTGTGCTGGCAAGAGAAGATGAAGAACGACCAATGAGAACAGAAAAAGAATAAATGATAATTAATTAATAGAATTATAAAAAACAAAACAAAAACATATTTAGGTGGTTTTCTGCTTGGGGGCGAGGAGGGAGGTGACGGCGGGTCGGAGCAGGGAGGCGACGTTGAGCAGCCGGAAGAGGAGGATCGGGAGGGAGAGGACAGTCAGCCGCGCGTCTCCGCCCCAGGCCTCGGCCATGAACCGGGCCAGCAGCAGAAAGAGCGCCGATTCGGTGATCCCCGTCAGCACGTCCTATTGTGTCGTGTGTGTCGTACATGTGCCGTGTGCCGTGTGCCGTGTGCCGTGTGCCGTGTGCCGTGTGTCGTGTGTCGTGTGTCGTGTCAGCATGCAGACCGTGGCGTGAGTGTAAAGAAAGGGGGGGAGCAGCGTGCCTGTCGGACGTAGTCGTTCGGGAAGGTGACGGCGAGGTTGAGCAGGAGAGCCACGAACTCGCACGCCAGCAGGAAGGCCGCCACCTCGGCGCACGCGTGGTTATCGCCCTCGCTCTTGCTCCCTACACACACATTTTTGTTGCGATTCAGCGAGCGGTCCAACACACAACACACACAACACACACGACACACGCG